CATTGTCAAGGTAATTTGTCTGTGTGGTCGGCAATGGGCCTGTACAGTGAAAATATAAACCTTTCCTTACTTTTGGATAAAATGAAGTGCCATCAGCAATTGGTAAGCTTTTAATACGTGATTATGTTGCTTGAAAGATAGTTAAAGTCAGGGTTCGTACAGAGTCATGGAATTTAAGAATTTCATTTTCCAGCCTGGAAAGTCATGAATTATCTCCATAAATGGTATATGTTTTGGCGGACAGCAGTGGTTGTGAGTGTTGAACTGAGTTATGTCAAAAAATACTCTAAAACAAAATGAAAATTTCCGAATGTGACAGCTGAACTTAAGGTGATGGAAAACTGGACAAAGTCATGGAAAAAGTCATCAGAAGAGTTCAAAAGAGGATGCACCCTGTTTAAAAATGCCAGACATGCATTGTCCTTAAATAATTTATAATTTTAATTCAGGGTGCATGCTCCCCCCCACCCGCCCCATGAAATGACGTTCAACGTATCAGCATAAAATTTTCACGGGTCATTACAATGCCATGAAAAGTCCATGAACGCGCTTAGAACATTTTCATGGATCATTAATAACTCCAACTTCAGGGGGAAACCATGCGTTTTTCATGGTCCTGAATTTCTTGTAATGCCATGAAAAACCCATGAACTTTACCTTGAACGTATGCTGTTCAATTCATAGGATTTTCAACATTTTTAAAAAGCCATTAACAATCAACACCAAACTGGACTATATTTTAATGTTTTTATATGGTTATTTCATGGACTTGAAAGAAAGTTAAGAGTTTTCATGGACCCTGAAACGGGCAGTATCAAGTGGATTTTCATGGCCTTTTTAATGAATTTTTCATGGTATCAAACCCATGGAAAACCAGGGAGATAAAGCCATGAAAATGACATGAAAAACATTGGAAAATCCTGTGAATATACCATGAATATATTCACAAGATTTTCATGGGTTTTCATTTCATCTTCACAAAATATTTCAAATTTCTTCCACTCGCATTTTTTCTGTGTTAGCAGACTAAGTTGTCAAGTTCTTGACTTGAGTCAGGATCGCCTTGCTCTAATTCTTGCTCGGTTTCCTCGAAAAGCTCTATGAGAGGGTTTACACTAAATTCAACTTCTTTGCGCTGATTTATTGGAAAGGCATGAATCTTGGAGGATATGACATACACATATGTACGAACCGTTCTTTGGCATCGTGTCAATCTTTCTTTAATATACGACTCGTGACATCATGAAAATCACTGACAAGTTAAATTACATTTTGCAATGTAAAATATTCCTGTTTCTGTAAAATTTGACGCACTGCCAAAGTTTGGAGGAAAATGTTGAAACTAATCGTTTTTTCAAGAAATGTGATGTCACATGATGTTGGCCATGCCCATAACGTCAAATTCCTGGAATACTTTAAACTCTTTTCGAGGAAAAAATATTGTCAGAAAGTACTCGACATGGCTTTTCACTGATGGTAATTTGACAAAGCCTAGAATTTCACTAAAAATTGCGAAAAATAGCCTCCAGTACCACTATAAAGGAACAGAGAATCCTATAAAATGTACGTCACATTAGTTGGGAAGCAGACGTACTTCGTGGTAACCTGCCTGAGAATGCGCGTCAAGTCAAAAATTCTGTATAAATAAACACCTAATCGCAATAACGTTGTCTTCAAAAAATGCTAAAAGGAAAAACGAAAAAATGGAACAAGCCAAGGCAGGTAGGAATTAATTACGCTCTCTATTAAACCTAGATAGGGTGCATTCATTTGCAGCACAGGCGTTTTTATTGTTTTTTTAATGATATTTTCAGTACAAAAAGTCCCTAGCAAGCTGCAGTAGATAAAAAACATGTGCTTAATTTGCTGTTTACATCATCCCCACCACCCCCTCCCCCCCACACACACACACACACACACCTCTCCCCTACCTATCATTTCCTATAATTCTCTCCTTGTCATAAAATACTATGACATTTGAAATCAGCGCGCGCTCTAGAAGTTGTTTTCCTTGGTCGGTTAATTTTTGCAGCAAAGTTTTCCGGAAGGCATCATTAAGCCTTATGAAGGAACAAGTCTCACGATTGGCAAAGTCTGCAGTCGTCCAATATGTTACCGTATTTCGTCTCATTTAAACGGGTGAAACACTGATCTCGGGCTTGAGACGGAAAGGCATCATATTGCGAGCTTTGATGTGGGCGGTGACGAGTCTCTGGCCTCAAAAAGTAGTTTGTGGGAGTCAAATCTATTCGGCGAGAGCGAAATTGAAGCTGATTTCTGACCAGGCCAGAGACTTAGTTAAAAATTGTTTTGAAGGCCGGCCTCTGCGTTCCTTTCAAAACGGCTCGTCTTCATCCGGGATTTTGGATAAATCGACTGTGTCAGCAAAGTTTACGTGTAGAGTTAAAAGAACTTGAAGACACTGGACTGTATTGTAGACTCACATAGTAGTTTAATCGTAGACTCATGTAGTTGTTTTTGAACACGCTTGAATAATAAGAAGCTTCGGGAAGCGGTTCAATTGAAAGCGAATATTATCTCGAGTTACATTTCATACCAAAGCTAAGCCGGTACGATAACGCGACAAAGAAATACAAATACAAACTTACAGATTATTGTCACATGAGGGGCAAAGTTGAAAATGAACAGCGACGCGGTAAATCCTTCGAGCATCTTTGAGAATCCTGAATACTTCCGACAGTTCGATCCGCGTGGTCTGACAAGTCCCACAGTTCTTAGCGCTGCGACTAGATGACGCACTGTTTTAAGCCTACATTACATGTGATGATTTATGCGGAGAAAGCGAGAGTTATTGAGAGAGAGTAATTTTATGATATTTCGCCCGTATTTAGCCTGGTTGGTTTTTATCAGTGCCGCGAACGTGGTAAATTTCGATTTCCTGAAGTTGTTGACAGACAGATTTCTGGTATGTCGTGGCACTCGTGTTATAAGAATATTGTGTACAAACAAAAAAACGCTTTGTGAGCGTTTAGTTGAAGTAATTTTGTCTTAGACAACCTATTGTGGGGCCAGGAAAGGTGGATTCTAGGTCTGTTTTGGTCGGGCATCTCGCTATGAGCCTCGAAGTTTGAGAGACTAAAAGGTCGACACAACAATCATTATTTCTGTGCTTTTAATTATTGTTCATTTCGTTACAAATCTGTCGCTTTTGCCAAGAGCAACTTTTCGTGTGTTGCCAGCGATTAACTAGCGACTTTCAACTGCTTTTTATTCACCTCAAGGGTCACTGAATTATTGTTAAAACGCACTTGAAATTTCTGTAGTTATCTTTTTATAAATTCAGACAGATGTATTTATAAGTCTAAATAATTCTTATTTGGCTTTTTACTTTTTTCGTTGTAGCATTTTAGCAACTGTGACAATAGCCGTATTTATACTAGAGGACGCCTAAGACGTCTAGTATAAATACGGGAAATCAAAAGGCAGACGCATTAAACGTCAGACGAGTTCAGTGCGTCCGATCGACGCACTTAACAGATGAATTAGTCGTCTCAGACGTTGAATATAAAAACGGGACGCACTTAACAACGCACTTAACTTTCAGACGTTTAATGTCGGGACGTTTAAGACGTCTTCTAGTGTGAATGCGGCCAATGTTATTGCAGTTAGTAGGTTAGTAGGTTTTGGCTAATGTCAGGTCGCTTGAGAAAAAGTAGGATTTCCATCAATCAATCATGTTGTAATTGTTTTTTAAAGGCATAACGTTGCATAAGCCATCGCTTTTTATACTTTTTTAAAACGAGTTTAAAAATATTACAATGAAAGACGAGGTAGTTTCTTTGTCGAGGGGATTTCATATACAGAAAAAATGAGCGTTTATAATACATGTTGTTCTATCTTTTTGAAATTTCGGAGAGAGTCTGGAATCAATCCCATTTTAAGTGGACAACATTTAAAAAGCGATGTTTTTTTCGTAGCCTATGCAGCAGTTGCATGTTCTGGAGTGCAAAGTGTGAAGTAATTTGATTTGATTTTTTAACTTTTTAATAGGATTGTAAAAAAAAATTCCTTATGTTAGTTTGCTGTTTGGTTTTCGTTATTCGCTGGTTCATTTTGTTTGCTACTTTTGATCCTGTTATTGCCTGCTGACCTCGCCAATCCTCTTCCTTGCAGGGGATGCCGGTAACTCAACCAAAGAAGACAACATGAGCAATGAACATGACGCGTCGGAACAGTACCACTCACAGAGGTCCCCTGACGATGATAATGAACATGAAAGCGAGGTTGAAAATTACCGCCCAAAACGCAACACCCGTAGGGTTGCTGAATGTGATGGCAATGAACTTGGTGCTAGCCACGGAGAAATGATGGCCAATGATGAGGTTGACTATGACCATGACCTAGGACCGAAGAGTTCGTCACCGGGGTTACCTCGAGTAAATGGGGCAGAATTAAATTACTTTTACAATAGCAGAATACGATCTCTAGATGCGACAGGTATCAATCAAAATTTCCTTGCGCGACATACGACAGATCAAAGTCTACAACATGTCTCGCAGACTGGTTATTTTAATCTTCCGAAAAAATCAACGCCGCGTGCGGAATGGCCCACGTGGAGCCTGTCACCTCCTGACGCTTCTGAAACGAGACATCGATGGCGTCACTCGAGTGGACTGCACCCTTCCGTCTTCGTTAGTCAAACTGGGGGGCAAAGTAGCTGGCAGTTTTGGAATCAACCTTCGAGGGAGATGAATAGCTCAAATTTTAATCCACAAGAACAAAAGTCATTTAATCATATCGATCCGTGGTTTGCAAGTGGCGCAAGGGCGTTTACTGGTCTCAGAAAATCCGATAGCCTTCCAGCTACAAATGACACCATATCTGGTAGCTTATTTAACACACATGCTGCGATGGCAAGCGCCTCTGAACCCAAGTGGCGTTACCCGGCCAATAATTCTTATGGGTCGCATGTAAATAGTTCCACTTATGGTGGGCTTCCTGTGCCCGATGGGCCACCTGTATCAAGGTTGCCTACAGCAAAATCGCATGCGCCGGTGGTATTTCCCAGCATCACTACACCAGTCACCGTGTTGCAGCCTAATGCGAGTATAACATCTCAGAGTGTACTTCCATACAGCTACCAATCCAGTGTGTTGCCTGAAAACTTGCAAGAACGTTTCATGGAGCCTTATATACCCAATTCCTTTACAGAAAACCAAGATGTTTGTCCGATCATTTCATCTGCTTCAAGAAGAGAGGAGCAGAGATCTAAGGCATCATCACCGGAGTTCCCGGATGATCCTTCACTTGCTGCACTGGAACGCAAGGTGGCGGAGGCATTCGCAGTAGTTGAAAGGGTTATGAGAGAACGCGAAGAAAGAACAAAAGCGCAGCGTGAGGCTGCGCGAAAGAAAAGAGAGATAAGAGAACAAAGAGAGAGAGAGGCAAGAGAAATGAGGGAAAGAGAAGAAAGAGAAAGGAGAGAAAGAGAAGAGAGAGAAATAAGGGAAAGAGAAAGGAGAGAAAAAAAAAAGAAGGAGAGAAAAAGGAAGGAACCACTACAAAATGAAGACAGGGATACAAGGTGGTTTGGGGGAGAACGGGCACCGGTGCAAGAGAGCGCGCGATGGCAGTGGGAGCATTACCAGCGGCGTTGCCTTATGAAGTTTCCTTGCTGTGGAATATTCTACCCGTGTCACCGCTGTCACAATTCATCGGGGATGTGTGATACTGATGACAGGAAGGCGAGTAATGCGACGCATGTCAAGTGTAGCATCTGTGGACACGAAGAAGAGGTCAGTGGCTTTGTTCTTACGGTTATTCCTAAGAATTGCTTCGCGCACTCTTACTGCGCATAATTGCACGGTTGATTAGCAGGCGCACATTAAAAATGGCGACTTTCGCTTTGGGGGTGGAGATTGCCAGAGGTAAATCTTCATTTATCTCTTAAACCAGTATAGCGACCTATCATTTTTCTTTCTTTCACTAAATTGAGAGGCAATTTTTCTGCAGAAAGTATACAAATTCTCAGTACAGAAAAAGACACGATGAAGGGAAAAGTTGTCAGTTTTCATGTAATCGTAAATACGGCCGATATTGTAAGGAGTCATTGCCTTTTAACACGGTGCTTTTTTCTTTCTTTTAAGTTGCCATTTACATAAGGCCATCCCCCTTTTTTTTCGTTTAGCGTCGAATACGTTTCCTGATATTGGGTCGGTCGGTCGGATTGAAAAAAAAAAAACTTATAAAAAAAATTACACGAAGTCTCGGAATAGAGGCCCTGGTACCCCAGGACGACGTTAAAACGGTCGGATGGGCGGTCGGTCGGTGTACGGTCACGTGATTACCAAACTTTCTAGGATGGGTAGTTTACCACATTTTTTTATCCATGATGTTCCGCAGCGCGCTTCGCGCGCGAGAGCTCCGCTATGAAAATTTGCAAGAAATCGTATCACCCGGAGCTGAGCATACAGCTGACAGGGTTTCCTACTCTACGTCAAGTTATTTTTGCACTTGTCGTAACTATCTGTTCCCTTTCCGTCTGTCTCTCTCTCCCTCTTTTTTGGGAAATTTAGATCAATGAAGGAAGCCAGTATTGCAGTGGCTGCGGCGAACAAATGTCAGCTTATTTCTGTTTCATATGCAAACATTTTACCGGGGTGGCAAAAACTCCATTTCACTGCGATAAATGTGGTATTTGCAGGTACGTTATTGCGGTTAGGAGTTCTGATACTCAGTTTCAACCATTTTTTTAAAAATAGTTAAAACTATTCCTTTAGCTTCCTTCTTTAGACGTCGACTTATTAAGGCCCAGGCCAAACCTCGAACTTCTCATAATCTTAACTCACTAAGTTTGGTTCGTCTCATAAAAAGTTCGACGTTTTGCGTGGGCCTAAGAACACAAAACTTTGCCACCTCTTCTAAAATAACACAGGCAATATACAAAGGACTCAAGGGATAGCTTAAGAAAAATCAGTCCATCTTTCTCGTGGTTGCCGTTAGTTTTGTAGAGTCGTTAGTTGATGGCCTGAAAACCAAAGGAGGTGATTGCATTTTGAAATAAACGTTCTAGCTAAACCTAGATACGACTTCACTCATGTGCGTAATGCTGACGTGTTTGCGAGTGCAAATTCATGTAATCACGGTGATAGCATTGGAAGTTTTTTTCTGCACTAGAGAAAGAGCATAACGATTATTGGCTCTGTAAGGGTTTCGTTTACCTAAAACTGAGGAACATCTATAAATCTTTTATGTTTTTTGTCTTGAACAGTATACACGAGGACAAATCGTTTCACTGTGATGTTTGCAACGTGTGTCTGGACAAACGACTTGAAGGGAAACATAAGTGCAGGCCAGATTCTGGACACGACGAGTGTTGTATATGTTTAGAGGTAAGTGGAGACTGACTATTTTGCACTTAGGAAACAGAACTGATAAAATGGCATGACGAGCTAAGGTTCAAACCTGTATCGTTGCTTAACTGGCATGTGTGGAAGGTTATAACGGAGACTAAAGTAAGTGACAAATGAGTGTGTGTGGCGGAGACCAAGTCAGTGTGTTTTGTTTGGTATGGTGCACTACCGTAATGACTTCCTTTAAACATTTCAAATGTCTTCAGGGACGGTGAAATGAGCGCTCTTAAATTCGCTTTAAGTGTCGTTTAAATTTTCCGTTATTAGCATCCGTGGTATCGGCATTACAACTGACAGTTGCATAAACATTGACTGCTTAATTTCAACCACAAATAAAACCTTTGTGTCTGAGGTAACAAACCTTTATAAGCTTCTGACAGATAGTTTTGGCAAACCCAGTTTGAACAGTGTAGCAAGGAAGAGTGTGCCACCATATTTATGGTACATGCTTTTTGTTCACTGAAATCAAGCTAGGCGAAAAAGAGTCTAAACTGATGTTTATATTGTAATTAAATCAACTTTCTGTACTCTACACAGGATGCGTTCAGCGGTTGTCAGATCCTGCCATGCTCCCACAAGGTCCATAAAGAGTGCGCCATTGCTATGATTCAGAACGGAGTGTAAGTGGCCAACAGCAGTAGATAAATAGAAATAAAAAGTAATGAATTGTAATGTATAAATAAGCTGATTTAAGTATAGATAGCACATCTACACATTGGTGCTTCGTCTACCAGACCATTTCCGATTGAAATGGAATTCAGGAATGTTGTTTTTGAGGAGATGGAAAAATCGGAGTACCAAGAAAAAACCTCAAGGATCAAGGAAGTGTATCAAAACTCAACCCCCTATTGCCGCCTCCTAGTACCTAGTAATAATAGTAATAATAATAGTTTATTAAAACTCTCTTGCAGAAAAAAAAAATCATACTAGTTGAAATATCGAAATGTAAGAAAGTTATCTGTTCTCTTTGTTCTACAGGTAATATACTGATTAAACAGATAGGGCCGGTTATTTAAATGAAGTCTAACTTAGACCGCGGTTTAAGAAATCTTTGGACCTCTAGATCTCTTCCTTAGTCGTTTGTTTTAAGACGATAAATGCTTTTCTAGTCTACGCCATATGCTTTCATGAAACTGTTCACGATAATTGGTGTTAACATAAAAGCGTTTGGCAAACTGAAGATGGCTTGGAACGCGGACCTTTTGTTAAGCACTGGCTAAACTCCGTTTAAATATCTGGCCCATAGAATTATTTTGTCTGCATTCTTCCTTAAATTGTATTCAGGCTGATTATCTCCAAAAAATGAAGACTCAGTAAGAGAAGAGTTTTTTTTCGCAGCTTTCTTCCACTTCACTTCAAGCCCTTGACCGAAGTGTTACTGCAGATAAATTTTAATTTGTTTGCTTGTTTCTGTGTTTCAGACGAAACTGTCCGATATGCCGCCATCCTTTGTTTAGCCAAGACTCATAGTAGAGATGAAGAGGCAAATAAGGACCGTTCACGAAAAGTCTAGATTTTGAAAGACTTCTATTACTGCAGTCGCCACGATACGAATTGTTCGATTGATCAGAGGAATTTATTTGTTGTCAGAGCACTGATGTTACATGTAAAAGTTCAGTTTACTAAACAAAAGAAACTGGATACATTATAGCTTCAAAGTTATCCAAAATGAGTCCAATATTAAAAAACAAACAAACAAACAAACAACCAGCCGTTATCAGGTCTTTTAAGCAAAAACATATTTGTTGCTAACTGCAAAGTCGCGGTCAAAGCACAGGCGGCCCAAGCTCAGTGTGTGAGTTTAATTGTTAACACATGTACTTTCATATTGCGTAATTTAAAATGGCCGTGAATATAAAGGATTTGTATGGGAATTCAGGTAAAAGATTGAAATCGATAAATACTCGCTAGAATGTTCAATAAAATACAGCTTACCGTATTTACTTTGCTTGTTTTTGTTTGCTGTCTTTTAACCCCGAGTTTCCAATGTTATTGGAAACTCGGGGTTAAAGGAAATCGCTTAAATCGCAATGGATCGGAAAAATAACCACACAGCAAACAAAAACAAGCAAAGTGGATACGGTAAGCTGTATTTTATTGAACATTCTAGCGAGTATTTATCGATTTGAATCTTTTACCTGAATTCCCATACAAATCCTTTATATTCACGGCCATTTTAAATTACGCAATATGAAACTACCTGTGTTAACGATTAAACTCACACACTGAGCTTGGGCCGCCTGTGGTCAAAGCCATGCAAAACGACGCAGTCCTTTTAGAGCCAAAAGCCATGCATGGCCATGTTTATAAGTTTAAGCAAGGAGCCTAGCTCGGGAAACAAACAAATAAATAAAAATACACCAGTAAAACAGAAATCGATAAGTTACAGTTTCTTGGAAATGCTTTTGCCCCGGCCATATTGTTTTTGGTACGTTGGCTTCAAGTTTATCGCTGTGGTTTTATTGGTGAAGATTAAAGTTATCAAAAAGCCATACTAAAACGAAGAATTATCTCGCTTAATTATTGGTTTTCAGCTATTTGGAATCTTTAAATTTGTTAATAGGGTATGTTGACAAGTTTTTAATTGACGGATATATTTCATTATTTATTATAGCAAATCTACTGGCCCGGGTTGTTCAAACGTTGGATAGCTCACCTGAGAAATCGCTCTCCAGCTGATAAGTATCTGGGAATTACTTATCACGCTATATATCCTGTGGATAAAGATTTATCCGGTGGATAGCGTTATCCACCTTTTGAACAACTGGGACCTGATTGAGAAGTAAATAGCAAAAGATTTTCATTCAGCAATATATATATTTTTACCCACCTTTATAAAAAGGTTTAGATGTTTTTTTTTTGAAGCATCCTTTATAACAGTTTGAACGTCAACGTTATTCAGCCCAAATAAGCTACAATTAATTTGTCTGTATTACATGTAACAAGTAGAGAAGATAAAGACGGCTTATCCTTGAAAATAGCTCTCAGTCTTACTTTCCCGAGACAGTGTTTATTGTTCTAACTTGGACTCCTAAAGTGTGACGTGCATTGTGCCTTCCTGTAGTGCCATGTTTATTATAATGCAAATACTGATTCTAATGTTTAGGCCCGTTGATTAAATACTTACAATAGTTAAATGTGAGCATTAAAAGGATAACCAATGGACACTACTTTAATATTGCATTTTGTTATTTTGCTTCTTTACAAGGTAAATCAGAATTCCAAATCCTGCAGTGGGATAGCCCGCGATTAGCCTGCGAGAGCAGACGTTTTCCCGGTCAAAATTGTTTTTGTGAATTTAGCGTGTTTTCTATTGAGATCTCCAAGATTTCAAATCTTGGACGTTACAAAGTATATTTTTGGGTCATCACCCGTGTAATATAATTTCTTCGCTTTCTTAGTTTTATGGACTATTGCCAGGATTAGGTTCATTGTTAAGGATGTTTTGTTGTCTTTGTTTTGCGTCAGCTGTGAGTAATTAATTATATTACACCGGGGATGAGCCTAATTTGTTAATAGTTTTATGTGATCACGCGGTACAAGCGTGACGAAACACCTCAGTCAAACTTGAAAGTTGAGCCGAGTGACCTGAGAAATTTTGTTTGTAAACCAGAGCTATCTCTTGCTTGCTAGGGTAACCGTAGCAGAAGGGTTTCCCGCTCACCTTTTTAAACAGGCCCTGCGTACGTGATTGATTGAAGAAAAACACCTCATGCTTATCTGTCAACTAGGTCAAGTGCCTGCAAACCTTGAATTTCCGGAAATTTCTTTGCAAGCCGCAATCTTACTCGCTTCTGATTGGTCTTAAAACAATAGGCGACGGTCACATGCACGGCTTGCGCTTGCATCGGCGAAACACGCCACAAGTCTAAAAACACATGGAGGCCAACGACGATCTTCGATGTCAGCTTCAATCATGTGTATGATCTTCGCTTTAAGAAGAGTATTGATGAACTAGAGAGCAATTCCCAAATGTAAGCTTCTTTAAGTAATTACGAGAAGGGGTGCGATCTTCACAAATTTTAGCAACACGTACGTAGCGTTCGTTTAGCCTAGAAAAACAGGAAAATGCTGCCTGATCGCACAGTCTATCTTAACGCACTGAGACCCAAAACGAACGGGTTTTCTACATGCGCTTATGTTTAACCTTATTCAGCCTTACTACGGTACCACATACCTTCTGTGACAGATACCAGTTGTGTAAGGCAAGCGGTTGCTTCATTTAACTCACAGGAGACCGCAAGAATTGTTGGGAAACGAATGATTCTGTCACGGAATATAAAAAAGCTTTTTCACGCACTTTATTACTTGTTCAATATGTTCTACAGCTATTGCCACCTCCTTCATCAGTTGGCTTACAAAGCATTTAATCCATAATTCAGCCGGTCAACTGAAATTTCAAAAATTGCTTGGGTAAGCAAAGTTTCACGTGTAGCTTCACGTGACTTTTGATTCCTTTGTTGGAGTTTGGACTTTTTCCGCCATCCCTTTTGGTTCTTTAAGGTGTTTGAAACTCGAATACATGTACTTCCCGTTACAAACTGTGCAAGCAGAAGAGTGAGAGTGATTTTTACGCCATAAGTGTGGCAGAAAGAACTTTAAAATTGCATATTTATATAAATACATTCCTGCACACAGACGTCCTTAACATTATCATAGCATGCGACTTTCCCGGTTGAGTACATCTGGTATCACAAAGAAACAAATGTTATCAGTATCAACGTTCATTATGTATGCGTATGATTCCTTTAAATCAAAAGGGTAAAAGTTCCATAGCTAAAAGCTGTTGGTGAAGTGTTTTAAAATGTGGCATCGCAGGTCACTAAATAACCTCTTGAGCTATGCAAATTACACGTGACTCCAATCTACGCAATCGATTTGTGCTTTTGCAGTCTATACTTTTATAGCAAGACGACGGCACGAATTATCGAATTGAGCGCAGTTGTGATCAATCATTTGCATCGAATCTTCTAGCGGCGCGAACCTCCAGTCACCACAAATTTTAGCTGAAAGAAGCGCTAAATCAATCTAGATTACCTTTTCTAGCCTTCCTTTTGTCTAGTAAGTGTTAACTCACAACTAATGGACAAAAGGTCCTATCCATAGCGTGGGTTTTGTTCCGCCGATCCATCACAGACTCCCACTCCCACGCAAAGCACGCGTGGTGGAATTCCACAGACGGAATTCTGATATTTTCGATCACAGTTACATGAATTAGCAAGAGCTTTTACACGATGCTTTTTAAGGCATTGTTTGGAGATTTTTTGATAGCTTGGGCTGATTTCAGTATAATGGTCGATGGTTGCCGTTGCGGCCGGAATTTCCATGTAGCTCCTCGACTTCTTCCAGCAAGTCGTCGAATTTAGATGCATTTGAGCCTTTGTACACGAAAGACACACCCTCCTCCATCTGCATAACTCTTCATATAATATTCAGCCTTGTTCAGTAATTGTTAAAATATATGTATATAAATATCAAGCCCCTGGAAATATATACCTCGCGAATTTCAAAAATACACGTTAATTTAAGTCGCGTTAATTTTTTGAATCGTTAATTTCCGCGCCGCATGGAGCGTTGGTTTCCAAGACCTTAATTTCCATTACTTTGGATACACATCTGACATT